TCTCGGCTCCGTGTCGCCGACCCTGCTGAGCTGCTGTTTTCTGCTTCGGGCTGTAAAATATAAGCAGGCTTAATGCGGTCTATAGAGACCGTTTTTTCCTTGCCGTGCATTCGCACGACAAAGATCTTTTCGCTGCGGCTGATCACTGCGAATGGTCCCTCGTACGGCGCCTGTAGCATCGTCCTCGGCCCGTCGTGTCGAACGAATACGTGCTCGGCCGTCGTCAGGTCTTTGTATATGAATGGTCGTCGTTCGCCGTGTCGGGTCCCATCCACAGGTCGCAGCTTCTCGAATTGCTCTCGCAGATTTCCGACAAAATCGGCGGCGTCGTCCTCGTCCTCCGTCGGTCGCCGATTCAGGAACTGCCCCGGAATCCTCAACGTTTGGCCGTATACCATATCGGCCGCGGTCGCTCGCAGGTCATCCTTCCAGGCTGCTCGGATCCCGAGCAACACCGTCGGCAGCACCTCGGTCCAGCGGTCGTTCTGCTGGCATTTGATCGCTGCTTTTAGTTGTCGGTGAAACCGTTCGACCATCCCGTTCGCCTGCGGATGGTACGCCGTCGTCCTTAGGTGGCGCGCTCCCGTAAGCTCGCTCAACCGCCGGAAAAGCCTGGACTCGAATTGACGGCCCTGGTCCGTCGTGATCCGTAGAGGTGCTCCAAATCTGCATATCCACCCTTCGTAGAAGGCTCTCGCAACCGTCTCTGCCTCCTGGTCTCGCAACGGGAACGCCTCCGGCCATCGTGTGAAGCGATCCACACACGTCAGGCAATATCGTTTGCCCTCCGAGACTGGCATTAGGATGATATCCAGGTGAATATGTTCGAATCTGCTGGATGGCGCAGCAATTGTTCCGAGCGGTGCTGACACGTGTCGTGATACCTTTGATTGTTGGCAGGGCACACATGTTCGAGCCCAGACCCGGCAGTCGGCGTTCATAGACGGCCAAACGTAGCGCTGTGCCACGAGCTTGCCCGTCGTCTTAATACCCGGGTGCGCCAAATTGTGTATCAGATCAAATGCGGCCCGGCGAAAAGGCCTTGTCAAAAACGGTCGTGGTATCGTTGTTGTCGTGTCGCAATAAATTTTTCTCCCGGTTCCGGGAATCTCTATCCTGTTGAGTTTCAGGCCGGACTCTCGCCGCAAGTATTTCTCAATCTCCTCGTCCTTCTCCTGCGATTCCGCCAACGCGGCGTAATCCAGGGGAGAGTTGAGCTTTTCTATCCTCGATAGCGCGTCGGCCACGACGTTTTCTACGCCCGCCACGTGTCGAATGTCGGCGGTGAACTGTCCGATATAATCTAAATAGCGGAATTGTCGCGGCGTGCTCTTCTCAGGCTTCTGGCGGAATGCGTATATTATCGGTTTATGGTCCGTGTATATTGCGAACGTGCGGGCTTCCACCATGTGCCGAAAGTTCTTCACCGCCAGGTAAATTGCTAGTAGTTCTCGGTCGAATGCGCTGTATTTCGTTTCGGCTGGGCTTAGCCTTTTCGAGAAAAACGCTAAGGGTTCCCAGCCGTCACTGCCTCGTTGTTGTAATGACGCGCCGATGCTTTGTTCGGACGCGTCGGTAAACAATGCGAGCTCCGCGTTTGCCCTGGGGTGTCTCAGAAGGGCGGCCTCGGCTAAATTGGTCTTCGATGCCTCGAATGCTTGTTGAGCCCGCGCCGTCCACGATATTGTCGCCTTTCCTTTGATATTTCCCTGCAGAAGGTCGCTCAGGGGCGTCAATATTTCGGCGGCCTTGGGCATGAACCTCCTGTAGAAGTTTACCATGCCCAAGTATCTTCGGAGTTCTTTCGCCGTCCTCGGCGACTGCATCGTCAGCACCGCCTCCACTCGCGTCGGCAGCGGGCGAGTTCCTCCTTCGGAAACCTCGTATCCGAGGAATTCCACGCTGCTCTGGCCGAATTTGCACTTCGCGGGGTTGATGATAACCCCGTATTCTCGTAGACGCTCGAATAACATCCGCAGATGTTCGCGATGTTCTTCCTCCGAGGATGACGCGACGAGGATGTCATCAATGTACGCGTAGGAGAAATCAAAATCGCGCAGAACTTCATCTATGAAGCGCTGAAAGGTTTGCGCTGCGTTACGTAAGCCGAACGACATGTACGGGAATTCGTACATGCCGAACGGCGTGGTTATTGCTGTCTTCGGCACGTCCCTTTCTGCCACCGGTATCTGGTGATACGCGCGTACCAAGTCTAACGTTGTAAAAATTGTCTTTCCGGCGAGAGCCTGCGCGAAATCTTGTATATGTCGCACCGGGTAGCGATCCGGGATCGTTCGCGCATTTAATGCCCTGTAGTCGCCGCAGGGTCGCCATTCTTCTCCTTTCTTCGGCACCATGTGCAGAGGAGCCGACCAGCAACTATTCGACGGTCTCGCGACCCCGGCTTCCACCATTTTCCGAAATTCACGTTTTGCCGCCGCCAATCGGTCCGGAGCGAGTCTCCGCGGTCTGCACGCGACGGGCGGTCCCGGTGTCGTCTCTATGTAGTGCCGCGTGGCGTGGATCGCGCCTCCCGGACGCCCGTCTGGCCTCGCGATATCTGCGTACCGCTCCAGTAATCGGTGGTATGGAGTCTCTCCCGTAATTGTCTTTACGCTGGGTGCATCACACTGGATGCAACGTCCACGCGCGGTTAGACTAGTTACTTGGTCGATGAGACGCGACCCGCGTAGGTCCACCAGGAGTCCGTAGTGCGCCAGAAAATCGGCGCCGATTATCGGTCTCGAGACGTCCGCGACCACGAACCGCCACGAAAACGCCCGTCGTAATCCGAAATTCAATTGTAGGGTTTCCGTCCCGTAAGTAAAAATCGTTGTACCGTTGGCGGCCGAAAGTTCGTAGGTGGATCTCTGTCGTGGACCTCGAACCATCTTTCGAGGGTACACGCAGAGATCCGCACCCGTGTCGATTAAAAAAGTCACTTTAGAGCTCGCGTCAGTCACGAACAGGCGTCGCGTTCCGTGGCCTGAGTCGCTCGCCGTCACTAGCGACCGGCCCCCGCGTTTCCCTGCTGCATCGAGCAGGGTGCTCTACATTGTCTAGCGTCCGCCCCGAATTGCCAGTGGTACCAGCACATACCACTGGCCGGCGGATCGCGACCTCCCGATCGCGCGCGCGGGCGCGAACGCGAACGCGAACGCGGACGACGTCGGTCGTCATCGCGACCTCCTCGATAGCGCTCGCTGCCGATCGCCTCGATGGATTTTCGGATTGCCGCCATCTGCTCCGCGATCTCCCGCTGCATTGTCAGCTGCATTTGCGCCAGGCGCACCTCGAATTTCGCCTCCAGAGACGCGGGATCACTTGCGTTCTGTCCCTGAGGCGTTACGGCTCTTGCTGCCTCCGCTACTTGGAACACCGGCGCCCGGGTCGCCTCGATTATCGCGTCCGCGATGTCCGCTAATTGTTCTGGCGTGTCCCCGGTTCGCGTCACTAAATGCGGCTGTATATACGCCGGCAGCCGACTCAGCCAGATCGTTCGTAAAATCTGGTCGCCCACGGCACTTCCGGCGAGACCGCGCAGGTGCCGCAAGAACTGCGACGGCTTTCGGTCTCCGATTTCCTCGTGCTCGAGGAGTCTCCGTGTTTTGTGCTCCTGCGACAAGCTGAGCCGTTTGATCAATTCCGATTTCAAAGTATCATATGCGCGTTCCGCGGGCGGATTCATGATAATATCGCGCACTTCGATTGTATAACGCGGTCCGATGGCCGTCAGCGCGTATCCGAATTTAGTCGCGTCGACCGTGATTCCGGCGGCTTGGAAACTCCGGTCGACGATACTGAACCAGAGTTCAGGGTCTGACGGCGTGAACTCTGGCATCCGCATGCCTACGCGGCTCACCTCAGGAGCGGGTAAAAAATACCCTGGCGGCTGCTCGTATCTCGCCGGTTGCATCCCGAGCAGGTTCATCGGCATTCCATGGAGTCGCGGCTGCTCCAGCGCTCGTGCTTCTGGCTCCGGCAGCGGAGCGCCCGTTTCTTCGTCTCGTGTCACCACCATGTCAAATTGTTTTTTTTACTCGCCACTGGTCACTGTCTCACTCGTGTACGATCGGATAAATCGTCTCACTCGTCGTCACAATAATAAAAAAGTTAAAAAATGTACTGCTTTCACACGAACAAAGAATCGCGAATTCCCGCTCGTTCGCGATCACGTCGGGACGTCACCACTTTGGTAATTGTTACGCGTGTCGCGATGAATTTGGAGGAACGATACGAGGCGGGAATTTAATAATGATGTGAGAGAGAGTATTTGCAGATATCACTAATGTATTTCTCAAATGCACACGTTAAAATTCGATACAGGAATATATAAAGAAAGACCGTGCGGATATAGTGTGACTGTACGCGGCGACTGTCGGTAGCGAACTCCCTTTCGCATGTAAAAATATTCTACTTCTCGTTCGCCTCAAAACGCCCTTCGATCGGCTTCGAGAGGCTTCGCGAACTTTCTCTATATTTAATTTCTTTGTCTCTAACGTCACGATGTTTTTCGTCTTTCGTCTCGTCTGTTATATTTATTTCTATTTATGTTTATTTGTCTCTCTATCCTTTTCGTATGCGTGCGTGTCCGTATTCGTATACGTGTTTCTCTTGCTAAAATTTTTGGGGAAGCATGTGACGATATAATCGCCACAAGGTCAATATCTGTAAGATTTATAAAAAATTTATCTTAGTTTGATTTTAAATTAATTTAATATTATCATTTTGCACTGAATTTTTTAATTGCATTTTATTCAATAATATATGATATAAGGAAATAAATGGCATCTAATTTTGTAATATTCTAGTTATATATTCTTATACACTTCTTATTGATAATATCTTATTCAAGTATTTTATTAATAAGTAGATTACCAAATATTTAGAAGCCGCAAGTATAATTACCGTTTTACTCGATTAATACTTTTATATCATGTTTCTTATAGATTATCTATCTTTTAAATATTTTTCGAGAAGCTTCTTATAATAATAAGAATAATCTACATATATGTATAAATACACGTATGAGGTATTTCTAGAGCATTTGCAAGAAATTTTCAAATTTCCCAATTTTTTCATTAATATAATTATATTATTATTTACGTAAAAGACCTTTCTTTGTATACTTGCTACATTTTCTCTTAAATTGTTTCATCGGTTTTTCATTCTGCCCTTCGCTATCTTTCGCTTTAACAGTTTTAGTTTCAAGATCTGTAATCGATCTTCTCGCTTTGCCATTGACCAACAATCTGGCGGATTTTTTAGATGATCTACTCTTGCTTTTCACACGTTTCTTCCCCTTCTTCTTTTTTTGTTTTTTTACGTTCCATTTTAGCGATTATTGCCTCGGTGTCAGCAGATATTTTAATCTTCGGCTGCTGAGTGGCAACAGCCACTCTTACAAAAGAATCGTAGAGGACATCGCCGCAAAATTCGCCGAAACAATATTCCTCGCCGCATTCTCTGCAGGTTTTTACACTACTCTCGATTATTCCTGCGCGATTCTTATTTCGTCTAATAGGACTTATTGATTCGCGACGTTCTTTCATTATGGTCTTCGCCTCCAATTTTCCCATCTCCACCTTGTAACATAGGATTCATTCGAAAATTAGAAACAAAATCGCATTTTATTTTTACAAAGTTTTTGAATTGAAATAAATGCGATAAATATTAAGAAAATTGTAAAATTATTTTCATACGAAATTAATTATTTTACAGGGTGTCTCATAGGAAAATGCTGAAACTAAATCAGCTGTCATTTTTTAATGCATATGCAATTATTGAGAAAATAAAAATTGTGTTGAAAAGAGGAAAATGCAGTTTTAATGGATATAAATAAAATGTTTGTATACCATTACTTTTTATCAATAAAATAAAATAGGTTCGTGCACAATCACAGGTCCGTACCAATCTCGAAAACATTTCTTCGTCCTGACGAAGCTTCGGTCTGATGGGAGTCAGCATTCGCCAATCGATGGCGACTTGTTGCAGCTCTTGCAGATCCAATTCTCTCATATCCGGTGGAACTGGATCGCCATAAGTCCATTCCCTGCCGATGGCTTTGAGTTCTTTCTTGGTCGCTTTCCAAGAAAATTCTTTGTCGCGGACCTTGGTATCTTCTCTTTTTACCTTTATGCAATTTTCTCTAATTATTATCAAGTGCATTCTAATATTTCCATGGTAAATCCCGCAATAATAATAATAAGAGTTTTTACTTTTATCTTAAAATATAATTGTGCAATTATTACACAAGGCATATTTTTCATATATTTTTTATATTTATACATATAATTAAAATTATATTATTAGAAGAGCCGGACCTTTTCCGGTTTGATTTTAAACTCCGGACAGTTTTCCTTGAGTCTTCGGAACTCCTCGTAAGAGTTACAGGTCGCCTTGCTCAAATCGGGTATCAGATTCCCATCCTTCTTATCGTCCTTCAGCAGATCGTCCAGTTGAAAGGCCATTATCTAAATCTGCAATGCGAGAAAGGCGAGTTTTTGAGTTTCTCTCGCTGTTTGTTTGAAGAAACTATATGTTTCTCGACAAAAACCCTTTTTTTGTATCCTACTCGATCTCACTTTCTATGCAAACGAAAAGAAAAACGAAAGGAAACAACGAAATCCTGCGGGCATTTAAAAGATTTCAGACGCAGCGGGTGAGACCAAACATCGTTTGGTGTCCCACTCGATTTGCTTCATCAAAAGTCCCTGCAAAAAATTAAAATTTTGAAGAATATATTAAATTTTTATATATTTATTGTCAAGTTTGAAAAATTACAAAATTTCTCTAAAATTTTACGATCTAGAATTGACAGATGTAGAAATAACAGAAGTAAACGAAATATTTTGTGTTCATTTTTTGAGTGTAATTTTATTATTTTTAATGATTTTATAATTATCACGATTGGAAAAAAATATTGCGTTATACTGATATTATTTGTTTGTAACTTACGCTTCTCAACGATGTCAGTTTGGATAAAATCTCTTGTCCGCACCAGATATTGGAATTATCGTCCGATCGTTTTGCGTTGCAAGAAGTGCCATCCGATCGCAGCTTCTTTTTAGCACGATCTTCAATATTAATCTTTCCATTTTTATCGATTCGTAGGGGCACAACGGAATTCAGGCTGTCCATCGATAGATCGGCATCGTAATTTTCGAGTTTCGCTTTACGTCTCATGGTATTTCGGCTCTTTGACTTTCCATTATTCGATTTTCGCCGATCGGGGGATGGCGATCTGATACAAATTAAATTAACACAATTATATTATAATAATTAATTTTAAAATTTTTTATAAAAGCTTTTTTGGAAAAGATACATTACTTCATTTATTAATCTCACATTTATTCGCAGCGATATAATTTTAATATTAAAAGTCCTTTATCTTTTATAAAATTGCATCTTTTAATTTTTATTTTATTAAATAATTCTTTAACATTATAATAATTGGTTTTATACTTTCTCACCTAGATCCTTCATCGCTAGACTTGACTTGCCGCCTTCTTAATCTTAATCTTCTCTGATAGTGAGGATCTTTCTCACTTTGCGTCCGATATCGTGTACCTGGACTACGAGTGTTTTTAATTATTTTTATATTCGTAATTGATTATTCAAAAACATGTTTAAGCATTATTATAAGCTGTGTCAGATTACCGATTAGCGTTCCATCGCGGTCTGCTATCGAGAGTGGGTCTGGGTTGAGATTTGGATCGCGGAAGCGTTTTTATGGAAATTTCTTCGCCTGGATTTACATTGATCGACCTTCGAATAATTACAATTGTTCATTATAACAACATAATTTTTATTAACAATTTTTTTAAGCAATTTACGCCAGGCAAGATGATAATAGATTCATGCCAAGTTTAGCAGATTTTTGCCAAGTTTAGCGGATGCATTCAGACTTAAAGCAGACTTGAACGAAACTCCACAAGAAAAAATAATATCGTAAATGTCACAAATGAAGAAGAATGTCAAACGCTATATTAAGTATACACGCTTTCTTGAAAAATAATGAAGAACATTTCACTTACTGGATATTTCCTCGCGCGGATCGACAGACATTTCGCGACAAAGCGTCTTTATGATCATCAAGCTTATCATCTAATCATGTATACTATGAAATAAAATAACGATAATTACCGGCCAGGTACTACTGCATGCAGGGAAGAATATAGTCGTCGTTCGGCTCTAAGAAACCCGGAAGTGGTATGGAGTGACTCACTTTTCAACGGTTCTTCGACTGGCGTTCGTCGTGTCCTTCCGGTCCTTCGTGGTACCTTGATCCCCGATCGATTGATCCTGCAGTTTCTCTCGTAGTTCCTGGACGTCGGATTCCACGTCTGTCTGCGTGCCGAAGTCTCGACCGGCCAGGGTTCTGTATTTGCTGGGCGTCAACAGCCTGTTCTCCACGAGGGCCGACGAGGTACCGCCGTCCCTCGAGGATTTCCTCGGGTACCTAGGACTTCCATTGTTTCGTATGATGGTGTTGAGACCCAGCGACAAATACTCCGCGGTATTTTCCGCGAATCTACGCGGACTTGGTGTCATAACTAAATTCACCAGTTGCAAATTCGCCCTGCTCAGGATCTCCGGATCCTCCAGTCTGCCGCTCAGCACGATCGCCACATCCTTGCTCACGGGGACCTGAAGAGACTTTGGATTCGGATCCGGAGTAGCCTCCTCCGACGTGTAACTCGACTGCGAATAGTTTTTCTGCGAATCTTTGCCGTTCTCGCTTTCGCGATAGTTGTCGGCCTCCTTGACGTCCTTCGGATTTTTGGACTTCTTTTCGGGATAATCGGTACTCGAGTTTGTGCTTTGCTTTTGCGCTTGCGGACTATTGTCCTCGTCGCGTGTGTCCACGCTGACAATCGCCTTGGTCTTGTTGGAAGACTGTGTCACTACGTCAGCATCCTCGTCGGTGTGTTCATCAGGAAGCTCTCGCTTCCGCCGATTCTTTCGTTCTTCTTTGGCCAGCCGTTCCGCAGCTTCTAGGACCTCGCGCATCACCTGCGCCTTCTTCATCTTTGCCGCTTCCTTTTCGCGCAATAATCGTTGCTCTTCTTCAAATCTGGTGAATTATATTCGAGCGTGATTTTACAATTTTATAGGAGTATTCTTCAAAAAATGTTTTTTCTCGAAGAAAAGGCATTATTTATTACATATTCTAATTTATATTTAATTTTTTTGTATTTTGTTTACTCTTATTTATATTTTACCTTTCCCTTTCTTTTTCCCTTTCTCGTCGAATTCGTTCATCTTCCAATCTTTCTTCTCTCATACGCCGCTCTTTTTCTTCTTTTCTCTGTCTATCTTTCTCCTCAAGTTGTTGTTTAATAGCGTTCTGCAATTCCAACGCTTTCTGTCGTTTCGCTTCACGTTCTTGAAGGATGTCCGCGTCTACTGGAATATTCTGACCCCGAAGGTAGGATACTTTGTTAGTGTCGGAACTGGTCGAGCCAGTTGTCGAACTGTCCGGGCTGCTAGCACTGTCATGATTGATCACTAAAACCTTGATCATAAAGAAATAAATAAATAATTCGAATTTTCTCACAATAAATTAATAAGGATAAATAATTAATTGTCATAATTTGTTGTTTATTACGTATGTTGTGCTTGTTTCTTCAGGATTGAGTTATTAAAAATTGAGATAGCCGCGAAACAAAAGTTTTCAAGTGATTTTCAAAAGTTTGAAGTTTCAAAGATGTTCAACAAGTTCTCGGTAGACATTACTTGACTCGATTGTCCTAATCTTGATAGCCAAGAGGGCGGCGGTGGATCGCTTCTTCCGTCTTGACCCCAGACGCTGCCCCACCTTGGCCTGTTTAATTCACCTAGTCTACCAGGTGAGAGCCTCCTCGAAGGCGGTAATGAACTTTCCGGAGTGGTGCAGTAAGGATTCTGCCAGGTTTTCTCCGTCATTTCCATTCCGGCCATTACTTTACCATCAGCTAGAGTTCCTTGGAAAAGGTATACAAATTTTATTAATAAAGAAAAATTAATGAAACATTGTGTAAGAATGAATACTATTATCCGGAGATTTTGCAATTTTTATTTATATTTATCTTAATGTTTCTCACACACATTTATATATTTTTCTTTTATAAAAAATTTTAAAAATGTTAATAACAGTGAATTTCTTGATATTTGCAGCGTCATCTTCAGGGTTTAAAATTCTAAAGAACTCACTTTGCCCTGCCTGAGGTACATCAATCGAGTCGCTAGCGTAACCGGAAGTTTCACCTTCGCGTTCTTCGCCTGGTGAACCGTAATGACGGGGTTCTTTACGGGCCTCACGATGATCGTTGGACCGATGGTGTTCCAGTTTCTGCGACCTTTGCGACTGGTATCGCGATCCCTCTACGCCAAAGTCACGTTGTTGTTCCTGTAATAATACGAGACCGTAAAGTTAGATAAAACGCCCTCGAAAAACAGAAGGGAGGCGGACTCGCGTGATCAAGTGCGAGGTTTCCGGCTTCCGTGGCTTGTGAGGATTTATGTTCTTTCGTGTGTCCTATATATGTATATTGCGACGGAATATTATATAGTACCTGTCGGAGATGTCGGGACGCTGTATAAATCATGCACGATCTGCTTTTTATTTCCTTATTTTATTTGTTATTTTTATCTGCTTACAAATTTAATAAAAGCAAAATACGAAGCAATTGCGTAGTAATATTCATTTTTTATCTATATAATTATCTAGCTTATGCATAATTTCTATGCAGAAACTTGATAATTAAATAGGCAGATTGCAATCGATAAATTAAAATAATGAATAGTATGCAAAATTAAAACAGCTCAATGTCTACCTTTTTGAAAAGTGAAGAAATTAATTAAAAAAATTAGTTTTCCAGTCTTAAAAAAGGTAGGTTAAACTGCTATCAATATTTTTTCAGAATAATTTAGTTTAAACAATTTTAGGGCAACAATCGCGATAAAATCGAATTTGTATTATTATATAATTTTTTGCGTCGTGAACGGTTTTAATTGAGGGGTGAAAAGAACTTAAGTTCATTATACTCTTAAGTTAGAAAGCAAAGTATGTATAGCCTTTGAGGTTATTGAACTTAATCACACGATATAAGAATCGATTTGCCGGACTGCCTTACTTTTGCTTTTTTCTTGCAAAAGGGCAATGTACTATCGAGTTTCGTTTGCCTATTTATGAAATCATGATTAGACGTGCTCGTTAATTTAATGGATAATCGAATTTAAAGAGTTAAGGAGTTGGAATAAAAATTCTTTCGTTTTAAATGAAGACACAATTGCGTTCTGTTATTTAAATATATATTTTCTATTATTGAAATTGTAAATTTTGCAATAAGAAATTACATAACGTTAATAAAAACATAGTGAGTAATATAAAGAATAAAAAAGAAATTTTTGTTTTATTCTCCAACATTTTTGATATTGTATAAATATAAATCTGTACTTAATTATTCGATTATTTTAGTCGATTATATATGACTGTATCGATAAGAGATTGTTGCTACACACAAGTAAATTTGCGATGAGCGATCAATTATTTAAGTGACAATAACGCGCAATATTCTTGGGGTTTCATATAGTAAAATCCTTTATCAAATGTAACGAAGTTATTCATGGTCCGATCGATTCCAATTTTATGCCGAAAGGAATTTCACGATAAAACATGGAAATATATATAATTGTCTTGGCAAATATCCATAGAAGAGGATATGATTTAAAATATATCCAAGAAATCGACAAAGATATTATTATATATTTTTTATATTAAATAAAGAATTATATATATTATATATAATAATAAACATCCAATGTTTTTTTAATAAATTTTTCTTTTATTTTTATAAGGACTTTTATAGGATTATCTTATCAAGAAATATATTTGCAGAAATATTTAATTAATTTATTTTATTGTGATAATTCTTGATTATTTAATTAATTTTTTAATTAGTTTTTATTACTTAATATATATTATTGAATATAATTTAATTAAATGAGAGATTACTTACCAGCTGGCAAAAGTATTGCTGTTGTTCTTTGTTGAAAATTGGGGGCAAACTCGGACTCCTGCGTCTAATTTGCGATCCGTCCATTTGATCTCGGAGATTAATCAAACTACCACTATTGTAGTCGAGGCACTTGAGATTGCTGTTACCATTTCCGGAACTTTCAAGACTTTTCAAACTGACGGTGCTTCCGTAACGTCCGGTCGCACGAAGGGGTTGCGCGCAAGGCTTATCCTTTATTTCTTCCAAGGACAATCTGACGTCATTCGAGTAAGTGCTGTGTCATGGATTTGATGTTTTAAAATCGTCGGAAAAAAAGAAATTTAAATCTCCCTATAAATTCTATAATACGTGTATAAATTAAATAATTTTAAATTTATTTAATAAAGTAAATTTTATTAATAAATTAAGAGAATTTAAAAGACAATTTAAATTAATAAAAAAATATCAATATGTAAATGATAATATGTTAATAGCATTTTTCACGAAGCATTTTAATAAACCTACCGAATATGGGTGCGGTAATTGTTACTTGGTTTTACAGGTCCCCAATTAACGCCAAGACGAGCCATTTCTTCTACAGAATCGATATAAGAACATTTTGTAGATATATGTTTTTTACATATTTTATTATATGTAAGATTCAAATATATATAATATACTGAAAACACAATAATATAAACGATATGTAAAATATAAAGAAATATATTTTTCGAGCTGCAACTGCGATGACATAAAAACCTTGATAACGCTTTGTGAAAACTATTCATCATAGTCGATTAATTATTAATATTGTTAGTTTTTACTTACCCCTTTCCCTTGCCCACTGAAGTCTCTTTTGTTCGACTAGTGATGTTCTTCCGATCATAATCACACGCGATTCCCACGGGAAGACGTTGATGCGCGAAAACAACGATGAACGAACAACGCGAAACAACGCAAAAGAGATAAAATAAGACCCTAAATCTAAGCTAAACCCTTAATAATTACATGACAATTGTCCATTTTCGATTGCCTACCTATGCTGGAATCGTCAGCGGAAATTCCCAATAGTACCTCGAGCTAGATACATATATTTCGTATCACTCGATGTTCGTTTGCCCATTTGTCCTTATAAAATCGCGCACACATATTTTTGATATTTTTTAATTATTCTGTATTCTGAATACAATTTTATATTTAAAAAAAAATCTATCATTTTTCTCACATAAAGTTCAACATTTTAATATCAGTTTTTATCGCATTATAATTAAATATAAAAATGTTTGATTCTATTGCTAAAACTTTTTATAAATTTTAGTGTCAAAAATGTTTCATATTTCTGTAATTTTAATTTAACATTTTAAAAAGAAAAACATTTTAATTAGTCTTTCTTTAGATTTTTTCTTGATTTACTCCATTTCTATAGATATCATATTGCAACATAAAAATAACGCGAGATTTGCTTAAAGTATCTCTATTTTCTATCAATATTTTGATCATCTATTTTTATAAATTGTCACTAAATTCTTAAATATACACCATCAAAAATTTTGCATAAATTGATTTTTTCGTTAGTCGGAAATTATTTTAACAGTTTCTCGATTGTTAATTAACACACCAACTAGCATGCGAGATTTCTCGTTATCCTGATGAAAGAAAAAATGCGCGAGTTCCTAGCTGATCGTGAATAATCCAAAATAATCTGACGTCGCGCAAACTAATGAGTTCTCCGGACTTGGCCGCGGAACCGCGGCTTTACGGTGTGTCAGCATTTGTGAGACTGCGGCAGGGACCACGCGACTAGTCGGGGTTCACCTGGTACGACCTGGACAAACGTCGTTATTGTGCCGAAGAAGCCGACGCGAATGGGTGTCGCGATTCGATCGTGCGTTTCCATAGGAACTATCGGCGCCGCAAGTCTCGCTCCCTTGCACGGTGTCTCCTCAGGGTCGATAATATTGACCGTATTTACGATAAGGGATAATGACCTCCAGTTTCGCGGTCAGAGATCACATTTCCGCGTTTGACGCGCCGGCGATGAGCTTCCGCTATCGATTTGCCGCGCTGCGAGATGCTAATCTCTTAATTATTTAATGAATAGTTTAAAAAAAATAGATTGAAAAATGTATGATATTTATTGTGTTATCATAAGTATATTTTATGTTCAATGATATTATTCTATGCTCGATGATAGGGTGAGAAAGTTATCCTTCGAGAAAAAGGAGGAAGAGTGTATTGCTATAGAATTTAATTTTAAAAAATATGAAGAAGTTTATTGTTAACTCTGTAAATTAATTTAAATATTGTGCATTAATTACTTATAATATCACACGCAAAATTTATAATTATATAGTAAAAAAATAGATTGAAAAATATGTATGTGATTTGTGGATTGAATATTTTATGTTCAATATGATATTCTATGTTTAATGATGAAATAGGATGAAGAAGCTATCTTTCGAGAAAAAGGAAAAAGCGTACTGCTAGAATTTAATTTAAAAAAATATGAAATTTGTTACCTTTATAAATTAATTTAAACATTTTACACAAAATGTATGTGTTGTTTCCTTTCTAAAAAAGGCATGTTAACTGTGTGAATTTAAAAAGTATCAAACTTTAAGATATTTCGAATTTACATGCTCAGTCGTGTTTGGAATCGATTCTTATTGTTTAGAACATTCCCAATCGAAAAATATATTTTTGGAAAAAGCAGAATTCGAAAATCTTGAAATTTGAAGAGAATCAACTTTGACAGTTTTCTTTAAACTACTGTATTTTCTAAAGCGTACAACTACAAGCGAAACGAAAATTTCAATTATGTTTTAATTTTATATTTGTTGTATTTGTACTTTGTACAGTACATAAGTATTCTTGAATTTCTATTATGCGTTATATTTTAATATGTTTGGCGCGCGCTTGTTTTATTTAGTGTATTAAATATTTTATGTTCAATGATATTCTATGCTTGATGAAAAAATAGCATGAGGAATAAGAGTTATCTTTCGAGAAATAAAAGAAGAAAGAATACTGCTTGAATTTAATTTAAAAAAATATGATAAAATTTGTTATACTGTAAATCAATTTAAATATTTACACTAATTATTGTACGCAAAATTAATGATTTATATAGTTTAACAATTCTTAATTATCTTTCTGTGTTTTATCTTATCTAAGAGTAGTAAATAAAGTTGTGTGCCAGATTAAAGAAATGTAATTTTCGCACAAAATTTATGTTAAGTTTATAAAACAACATTCTATTAATTCTTTTCAGTCTTTATCTCTCCCTCTTTCTCTCTGTTTCTTTCAATTTTTATAATTATATAAGAGATAACACTGCAAAATACTCTGTGATTGCCATTTTGAAGATTTATCGATATATTATCGATCCAAGATTTGCGAGAGATGAATCGATTATTTCAAGGTTCAAGGTTTTCGTCGCTATATACACATGCAAAAAACAAATATGCTCTTCGTATATACAGTGCGTTGTTTATCCATTAATTATATTCAGTTATCAATTATCGCACATATTTTTTTGATCTTTTCAGACAGATGAATTTGATTTGATAAACAGTCATGTCGCTGGACCAAACAGTGTGTGAAGGTAAGATACACGTTTAAAAAAGAATAACGTTATATGTTAACAATCGTGACTTGTAATTTACAACTCGTATCGTTGTAATTAATCTTAAATTAAAGATTACGTTTTGAGAGAGAAAGTTTAATCACGTCTAATTATTGACGTTATTCTGACTGATTCTTAGACCAATGATCCTGATTTCGAGGTTATCTCCCTCTCAAGTTTAATTCCTGCTTTTTACATTTTCAGATCTCAAAGCTTTCGAAAGGCGACTTACTGAAGTTATTGCTAGTCTACAACCAGCCACAACACGATGGAGAAGTACGTTCTTTAATTTTGCTATGTGCTTATCAAAGCTTTTATTTAAAAACTGTAGTAGCAATCTATTTATAATTACTACGATGTAACAAATATTCTTTGACTCATAATTTTTTGTAATATTTTTATATCCTGATTATATTCAATGAATTGTTTTATTAAATTAGTTAGGAATTTATTATATTTCTTTGTATTATATTCTTTCTCGCTTTATTAATACATACATTGATATTCTTGCAGTGTTGTTGGGCTTGATCTCTATCTGTACAGCTATCGGTGCCTGGCATTGGCTGACAGATCCAAATACATCAGCAGTATCCTTTACACAGAGTTTATGCAATCATCCATTCTTCACAATGGCTAGTATAATATTAGGCAAGTATAGAAATTATGTCTGTTTATTTTTTTTACATAAGTTTGCATCACTATCATGTCAAAAATTACTATTGCAGTGATATTATTTATGATGGGAGTGCATAGACGAGTGATAGCACCCAGTATTATAACTCAGCGAGCCAGAAGTGTGCTTGGTGATTTTAACATGAGTTGTGACGATACAGGAAAGTTGATATTGAAGCCCACTAGATCTTCGCATCCTCACGAGACTTAAAAATGTTTCTATCTATAAATAAAAATGTAAATGTTAATATATGTTGTAGATTTTTCATATTACAAGATTTTAAGATTATGATTTTTTATTATATATTAATATTTACTAGAATTCTGTTGAATTATATGTATATATGATCCTCCCTTTTACAGTGTATATAACATACACTTCAACATAATGTATGTTATGCTATATATATTTTGAAATATCTATTGTCCAACATATTTAATAATTTGTAAAATATATGGGGAAATAATATAATAATCAAATCTACTCATCATGATCCAGAAAAAAAGCAAAAAAAAATTGATTTATTCTTTATAGCATACTTGACATATGTGACGTTGAATTTATCAATGTATTCTCAATACACTGTATTTTAATATGTAATCAATAATGAAATATATATTTCAAATGTAGTTTAAATCAATAAGTCAATAATTGTATTACAGATTAATTAATTTAGCTTATTTATTACATTAATAACGTAATTTTGTATCACATTTTATTTTTCTGTTTTTAAAATTATCTGAAAATATGCATTTTACTTTTACTGGACGTAAAAATGACAAAGTCACAATGTATATAACGATCAAAACATTTATTCTTAATCATTTTGCATATTACAATCTTTTTCTTTTTTTTTCAATATGCACAATCACGCAATTTGTTTTTTTTAAAACAGTTATAATATTATAATCTATACGGACTACCATTCGTTTACGGATAATTAATCGGATAATTAAGAACGCGCGTCTTGTCAGTTCTAAGAAAAATCGTACTAAACTATAGCGTATATACATGTGATGGTTACCCCGTCCTCGGAGTATTATCTTATATATATACTGTCGATAAACAATGATTACATATCGAAAAATACATAATAAAACGCCCCTATAACAATTATACAGAGTCTGGCAAGACGTAATCGTTTTTAGAAATACAATAAAAGACAGAACACTTCTATTTTGGATATTCTTTCTTCTCTGATCATAAAATTTCAAATGTGGAGTGATTCTATTGTTAATGGATGCTCTCTTATCACCAACTCAGTGGAAAGTCTCAACTAGCCCGTTATATGAATTTTACGTGGTTTCGTAAAATGCGTTGTACATTTTTTATGTAATTTATTTTTATTAGTATTTTCTGCTAATTGTATTTATAAGTTTTTTATGTAATATTATACATAATAGATTCGATGATACGCATATATTTATACTGTATAATTAGTTTGAGAAACAAATTAGTTTACGGTACAATTTTAAATACAAAATAAATGGTACAAATTTTACCCGAAATATATAATTTTTTTTACTTTTTCGGATATTGCCGCATTGCGCTACAGGAACATTGTTATTGTTTACACGCCATGTTATTATACATAGGATTTTCCGCGCGAGTCATCTCGTAAAAATGTATTTACGTTAATCGCTATATGTAGTATACTGTTTTGCGAAAAAGGATTCAAAAAGGAGTTGAATGACTCGTCAGTTAAAATATAAAATCCAGAATTCCCATGCAAACTTTTTTTGTATGTAGTAATTCCCTATTCTTATCATTCGATATTCACATTTGTATTCACTAACATTCAGTATCATTCAGCCTCAATAACTCTAGTCTAGTTTCATTTATTAATATATTTTCTCGTTTCATACTTTGCACTGATATACGTATGGGGCTTCACGTTATATATATCAGATTTATCAAATATTCCACAGTACAAAGTCGTGATCGACGATTATCCTTTCAATATATATACCTTCATCGTCGTCGTCATATAAATCTTTCGTACAATGGATCTCAAACTTTCATCTATTCACGCAAATAAAAGTGATAAACTACATAAAAGATGCTCGCATCATAAACTTACACTAGTGCAGGGAAAACAGATCCCCGGCGGAAGGAAGAGGTGCCAGGCCGCCAGTCACGTCGGGCAATTGCGTTAAATCAGGAAGATTCGAAATATGAGACTTCACCTCCGATCGAACCGCACATACCTTCTTAAGCTTTTCTTTATAGTCCTACAAATAAAAATAATCTTTTGTAATATAATAAAATTGGTAAAAATTCTTATTATTAATACAATTTAAGTAAACCTAGTAAATCTGATTTGCTTTGTGTTTTTTTATGAATAGCAATATATTTTAGCGAATAAGAATTGTAATATACTATGTGAATTGTTATATGTATAAATATAACAAGAAAAAAGTCTGTAAGGCGAGAAACATGTTCTAGATTTTAAATGCTTTACTGTTACTGCTAAGTTTATGCAAGACAATAAGGAAAGAAGATAGTAAATATACTTCTAAGGTGCTTTGCGCCTGCTGAAGCAGTTGCCTCTGCGCCAGAGTGTAGTCTCGTAACATTGTTAGTAATCTCCTTCTGTCCTCCATTTCGGCTTGCAGTCGTCCATTGTAATCGGCTAGAAGAGCCGCGGCCTCGTTTACTGCGGCGCTCAACTGATCTGCGGCCGTTCGATCGGCGAGATTCGCGAGCAGCGAGACCTCCGAGACTTCTGGTGGCAAGGACGCAATCCGTTCTCTAACACCCGCATCCGAAGACGCGGTATTTTCTAGATCCTGAAAAAGCATAGAAAACATTAGTCTAATAACATTTTATTAATCTATCGATACTTGCTGTAATTCGCGGAAAACTCTTTACTGTGTTGCTACATTTACATATATTACATTCTATTCATATGAGAACAAGCAAAATGTATGGCAATGCGATTAATAATAAAAAATTGATTTATAAAAACTATGGCACATCAAAAAAGAAATAATGAGTGTGAGATTTTGATACCAAAGCAAAACATTGATCAATTACTAAAAATCAGCATCCAATCGAGTTCGCGGAAAGCGAAATTTACAAGAAACTAAAGAGAAAAAGGATATACAAATTTTACTTGAGCAAAAAAAAAAAAGAATAAGCTACTAACACAACCAAATAAAACAGACAAATACAATAGGGTGGATGTGTCAGAGTTGTCAAAGCGTCTTCTGATATGCCTCATCATGGATTCAACATGTATTTCCATATTATAAATAAAATATTTTATTGCTAACGATACAAATTCCGTATCATGATTGTTACTCGTATAATTAATAAAATTAACCATTAAGGCTTTGATGAGTTCCTCGGTTTCCGGTGGATCGCCGGCAGGAGTTCGTGGACTCAATGTCACATGAAGCTCTTTGGTGCCATCCACTTCGACTTCAGTCTCTGATTTTTTCTTCTCCTTCTTTTCTTTCTGTAAACAACAAATGCGTGTCAGTTTTTTTACTCATTATAATAAATTACTGTTTGAAAACTATTCCAGAAATTAAGATTATTTATTTAAGATTATATATTTGAAGATATTATAAAATCTGCATTATTTATATATATATGGAATATATATATTGTGTTACAAACATTAAATAAATCCTGTTGTGTTTCTATACAAATGATACTTTGAATATGTACTTATTTTCAAATTGAAAACTTTAATTATATTTATTAGAAAATTCTTATATATAAAATTTAAAGAGTATATACCTTTACTTTTTCTATTTCAAGTTTTGCTTTCTTTTTCGGCGGTGTCACAGAATCTTTTTCGGAATTCTTTTCGGAAGCTGCAAAAGCTGCTTTAAATTCTGCTATCTGTGCTTTGTCATAAACTCCTCTCTCTTCCCAGATTTGTAATAACCTGTTTAATCGGTCCCTTGTTTTTTCATCGAAACCTTTCATGTGCTCAAACGCTTTTGGTAAGACTGTTTCAAATTCCTTTCCAAATTCTGGCCCTTTCTTCTTGCTATTTTGGATGACATCGTTTGCCAGATACATAAACATTAATTTGCGATTGTCCTTCACTGTAAAAATGTATGTAGAAAATTGTTAAACTTCTGTACACATATACTATTAATTGCCATATAAAAAGAGTAGCAGATAATATTGTTGTAAAGAATGATAGGCATATAAATAAAAATCTATATCTCTATAATGTATTCTAATTAAAATCATAAACTTGCAATTTTGAAAGTTATTTTTATTTAAATATATCTCTTATAGCCTCATATTAAATTTAAATACATCGCTACTATTATTTGCTTCAATGAGCATTATCATATCATTTCCAGTATCTCATTTGACAAAAAGATACATAATATTAAATATATATATATTTTTTCAACAATATATCACAAATATTTTCAGAAATATATTGTTCAAAAATGTCATATTTTAAATTAATCGCTTCTATATTATTATTATTGAATGAGTCAAAGATAAACAATGCAAGTATTGCTTATTTTTCTCAAAACAATCTATTCAATTTTATATTATATTTTGATAAATTTTGAAGCCACGTGACACCGCGAGATCACAATTCACGGTACACAATTGAAGCTGTGCTACATAATCTCGATCTCTGCAGTTATGCAGTGGAGTCGTACAGCTTAGAAGTTTCGGTAACGTTCGAATCTCGGCGACGACCTCGTCGTCGCGAGCTCGCCGGAGATGACGTTCCACCACCTCGTCGAACTCGAGCGTCGTCTTTTCAAGCCAGCGGTAGAAGAGAACAATGAGAAAAGGGGATACCTTTGCACATTTCCTTGAACCAGATCTTCACGATGGTCGGATGGTGTTTTCTGTGATGTATGAGCCAGAGCGAGAGCGTCTGAATGCTCTGCTGCGATGGGTTCAGATCCATCAGCCGCTTGACCAAGGCGCTCTCCGTGAACCCCGTCATCGCGTCGTCTTCGTCGGCGAGACAGGATCCTCCTCCACCTCCAGGTAGAACTTCGGGCCTCTCGTCTTATCTCCGACTCCTCCGAAGCCTAAAACGCGGCATACGTACTACACGAATACTTCACAACAGCTGAATTCGGTTAGAAGTTTACGATAGAAGAGCGCATGCGCTGTCAGTTGTGGAGATTTGAAAAACTAAGACGAACTTTCAGCATCGATAAAGAAATTCGAGAATAGTTGTCCTATTTGTGCTCCAGATGGAGGCACTTTCGCGATTAAAAAAAAAAATATCATTGAAGAAAAAGGCAGATGTACGTACGATTCTTTCTGAATGTATAGCGCTGTCACTGTTGACTGAATTAAAAATCATTCATACGTGAGTACTCTTTCATTCACGTGTGATGTACTGTCAGTTTGAACGAAAAACAGCTGTTTTTAATTTATCTGTGATTCGCACGCTAAAAGTATATATATATATATATATATATATATATATATATATATATATATATATATTAGAAATAATATTTAATAATATAATATTTAATATTATATAATTAAATAAAATATTTATAATATTAATTACTATTATTAATTATATAATATTTAATATTATATTAATTATATATATTATTATGGCTAAAAATGATTACTGATACATGTAAATAAAATATATAGTTTGACAAGATAGACGTAACAATCCGATTTAGAACAATAATTTTTTCGTATATAATATTATCTCAGATGGCTAAAATGGACAAGTTTATTATATACAGTACGTATATGATTTGAAACAATAATTTATTTCATACAGAATTATCGCTATGCCTAATGGACAGGTTATTGCATCTCTTATTTTTTTTTTAATACAGTCCATTTTCTCTTTTTATAACATTCATTTTCTTCTCTATTACAAACCAGTTTTCTTTTGAATTAAGAATTTTCCACCTACATGAAAGTTTAAAATAGAGAAAATTGACTGTATTAATAACTTGATCACACATATGCATCATTAACATATAAATTGATAGAACATTTAATAGTATTTCTCCTATTATTTGTAGAATTATTTACAAGCTTTGTTTGTGACAGAAATAATCATTTCATTGAATTTAATACAAAATGTAATCAATTATAAAAGATTATTAATTAAAAAAGATAATTGCAAGTTCAATATGAAAATTCAATGTTATAAATATGTTGTACTAATCAGAGAGAAATATATCATTTATAATATATACAGTTGATTTAAAACTTTTCCATGATTTTATTATAGTCGAATTATTACATTTGTATTTAATTTCATCCACAGATCTTAGCATAGATCAGTGAAAATAATTTCAAGACAAATCAAAATCTCACGTTTAAAATAATTTAAAATAAAGTCGTGCATCAATATTTAAGATTTGCCTTGAACCTCGCTTTTCTTTCTCTTTTCTCTTAAAGTTTAAATATTAATAACATAATTACGTTACGTAACGTAAAAAAAAAACAGCATTTATAAATTTGATATATATGTGCATATAAGTGCATATATATTTAAAATGTGATTGTTTCAATTTTAATAATTGGGCAAACTTTGATAAAGTAGGCAGCTTCTACTTCGTCAAGTTTTGATGAAGGAAAGAAAAGAACTTCTACATTTTATTCCTATAATTAAGATCCTAAGATCGAATCAATAAGATGAATCAAACTTAACAAATTGTGCCGTGAAAACACGAATACTTGATTTCCAAATTTGAAACTGATATATAAGAATTTGAGGATAAACAAGATAGAAACGATCCTTCTACCTGAGAAAGGCATCGCGCAATCTTATATATTAAAGTTTTATTATTAATATGTAAAAAACTAACCATCTGGAATAATTACGAATCTTTCTCGATAATACTTCTAATTAATACTGTATGTGTATATGTATATATGTGTATGTGTATCGAACTTTTATTTCGCAAATATATATATATAGAATATTCGCCGCTGAGAGAAGCGGTAGAAAACTTAATAATTGGCTAACGAGTTCCTCAATAATCACGTAATCCTAGATTGGAACGAAAAGTAATATTAATCGAAGAAAGTCACGATTCCATTTTGTTGGATGTCGTCTCGACATCCACTTCCGTCTTCAACTTCTGTTCCTCTCGTTTAGCTTCCTCGTGTTCCTCCTGTCCTGTCTGATCATCCACATTCACTTCCTCCTCTTCCTCCCCCTCTTCCTTGTCACCTTGTATCATTTCTTCCTTCACTTTTACACCGCCATCGGATTCGTGATTCTTCATCTCGCAAGCATTTTCGGCCGACGAAGGATGATTCTCGTCCCTTGAACGGTGGAAGGTCAAGATGTGATGGTCCAGCTCCGCGTTGAAGAAGAACTTGAGCGTGCACTTGGGACAATCGTACGGTCGCGCGGCCAGGCCGTGTTCTTGTATCAAGTGATTCTGCAAACAGAAACGCATACTTGTATTCGAATAGAGGAAACGAAATAATAAATTACAATTTAATTTTGTTGTTTGCAGCAGGAAAAGACGCTGCTCTAAATGAAAATTTTAATCTTATTTATATGAAATAGAATATTGAGAAATTCATTAATTTTTAAAAAAACTGTCTACTTTGTGTTGCTCTCGAACTTGTTTAATTATTTTTGCTTTTGAGATATATGGTAGTTAAATTACCTGAAGACCAATAGGAGTTGTGAAGAGCGATTGGCAGAGATAACAACTGAGCGCAGCGCAGCCAACGAAAGTATGCTCTATTAAGTGAATTTGCAATTGCGTAGGACTGGCGGCCTCAAATGAGCACAAATGGCATCGTAAGGCTTCTAGGGAAGCTCTCCTAGATTCCAGATGTTCTTTTCTCACGTGTTGTTGAATTTTGGCTTCTGATGGAAATGATACCTGGAAATTTTAAGCTTTAGATTAGTTTGTTCTATTTCCGTATATTTTAAGCTTTACTTTAATATACAATTTTCACAGGAATTCTCCAAAATTCCTCTCTAAATTTCAAATTTTATTATTTTAACAAGATGAGAATATTAAAGTTTTATTGAATGTAATTTGGAATTACTAGACAAATTTATATATTATTGATTATTATCTCGAATTTATAGATTACTTGAAAAAATTGTAAATTGCTATATACTAACCTGACACTGTATACATGTATAGGTTTTCGAACCATTAGTGTTAGTCTTTTCATGTTCTGTGATTCTGTGCTTCTCTGCCTCTTCTGAATCTTCGAACTTCACTCCGCATTCTTCACAGCGTTTTTTATCTGTACTTCCCTCGTTTCTGGTTCGATTCTCTACATTGAGTCCTCTGTCATCCCACTTGTCCTTGGAGCTATTCCATTGGCCGTTCTTGCTGGCGAACCAAGTCGCATCGTACTTGGCCCGTTCGTAGGTTGTTGAGTTTAGAATAGGCAATCCCTGAGAATGTCGCATGTAGCAGGGTTTGCAGACCTTGAGCGGTTGTCCGCTCGTACTGGCAGGATTAGGTGGTAGGCTGACGAAATCATCAGCGGCAAAATCGCGCAAACAGAGACAGCAACCCTGGTTCTGGGTTTTGCCGCTACCGGGACTTGTTGGACTAGAAGCGGCGGCGTTACGCGATCCTGAAGACGTTCGTAAATGATGCCGCGCATGCAGGCGACACTCCAGTTCGCTGATCAGCGTCTGCCGGCAAACGACGCACGGCGCGGGTAGATGAGGCAAAGAATTGTCCAGTCGTTGCTGCGGGTCCACGTTCTCTAAACTGTGTCTTTGCACGTGATCCAGGAATTGACTCTCCGAGGTCAGGCAACCACGACACACCACGCACGTGTCGCTCAATTGTATTTTACAGTGTTTCTGGAGTTTGTGTTCGGCCAAGGTCGCACTAGACAGGCACACCTCGTCGCAAATGTTGCATTTGTGACGTCCACCGGGTTCGTTGGACGCGTGTTGGATCCTCGTATGCGATTCTAACTCGGTTCGCGAACGACAAACCTCGCCGCAATAACCGCACGTCAGGGTACTCAAGGTGCCTAGACTCTTATTGGACAGTTTAGGAGGTGTGTGAGCCAGTTTCTTATGTGCCTGCAGCTCAGCCTCGTTCGCGAATTCGCCGCGTTCGCAGAGCTCGCATTGCTGACCGGAAGTGCCGTAATTTGCACGTTTGTTATTGTTGTCGCGCTGATTCAGGGAATTGTTGTTACTCGACGCTGGCGAGCGACCTCTCTTCAGAGACTTCGTCTAGAAAATTGGAAAGAAAAATGAGTTAACAAATAATTTTACTGATTAATCGATTTTTTTTCTCTCTCTCTCTTTCAATCCTAATAATATAACAGATACTTACTTCTTCCTGATTTCTGGTCGTTCGATGAACGCGCCCATTCTCTCTCGAGTTACTTCTCACGGATGGCATCTGATGGTCTTGGGCCGCGTGGTGAGCCTGGGCGACGTGTCGATCTAAGAGAAATTCCACGGCGAAACCTTCACGGCAGATGGGACATCTGTAGAGACTGGTCGAGTGGCTGGCCAAATGAAGCTGGAGTTCGAGATCCGAACCGCAGCAGATTCCGCAGAAGAAGCAACGCGCCGCGATGCCGCCACCGGGCGTCGAGGCTGGACTCCTCGCGGCACCGACCGGGCTGTTGTTCATCAGGGAGACGGCGGATGGAGGTGCGTGCACGCTGCGCACATGAGCTGCCAATTCAGCCTCACTCCTGAAGAAGCTCCTACCCTCGCCGGAAACTGCTGTGTTCGCTCCCGGCGGTGAGTTCTCATTGTTGGATACGGTGGTGCACGTGCTACACCGGTAGACTCGACACTCCTGGCTGTGCTTCACCGCGAAGTGCACCTGTATCGCTACTCTGGAGTCGAAGGTGTCCCGGCACAGAGCGCAACGGTACAGATGATGCGCGTGCACGTCCAGAAGGTGCCTCTGAAGTTGATCCGGATGCGGGTAGAGTTTTTTACAGGCACTGCACGCGTACTCCTTGCTGACCTGGCCCAGATAATGCTTGGTCAGGTGAGCCAGCATGTCCTCGCGCTCCGAGAAGATGGCCTCGCACTTGGGACACAGATGTTGCCTGGCGGACATCTCCTGGTTACGGTGGTCGGCTTGCAAGTGTCGCGCCACATGCTCCCGAAAGGATTCAAAGTCTTTTAACGCGGCACCGCACTGACCGCACAGCAGAGTATTAGCGGTATAACCGCCGACAGCGTCCGAGGAGGATCTGCTCGAGTGCTTGTTCGTGAGATCGGCGGCTTCCGGCGCGTCCCGGCTTTTCGATATCCGGGAATCTCTCGCGGCACCGTCGTAAATGCCGCCGTTCAGCTTCGTTTCTCCGTAATCTATAGCGTGCGTCGGCGCCGGCCGGCGATTCTCACAATGCTGAAGAACGTAGTGCTCGGCGTAGGAAGCCGCCGAGGCGCACGGAATGCTGCACAGGGGACACATCATCATCGCTGCGCCGAAACCGTCTATTCGGTGTATCGACAACAAATGATCGCGTAGACAGGCCAACGTAGAGAACTTCATGGTACATTGGTTGCAGGTGAACGCGTTCTCGTAATGGTCCCGCTCGCCAGCGGGCCGGTCGCCCCGATCTTCGGACGTCGGGTACTTGCGATCCAGTCGGGATTCCTTCGCAACGTGATCCTGCCGGTCCAGTGGTTTACAGGCAGCCGCCTGCTGCTCGTTGGAGGCTCTACTCGGCGACGGCGGTCGAGCCGCACCTTCCGCGCCGCTGAGGATCGCCTGGTGCATCGTGTGTACGTGCATCTGCAGCTGCTGCATGCAGTTAAACGAGTCCCGGGTGCAGTACATGCAGGCGAGTTTCAAGGGTGAGCTGAGAACCGGAGTCGTGGAGGCGCTGCCGGTGCCTTGTGACGTCTTCAGGACGTTCCTCGGGTTCAGGCTGAGGTTCAGCGACGGCGACGGCGACGACGGCACCGGCGGCGACGACGTGCTGTGCGAGGACACGCTTCTTCTACCGTAGTCCATGTCCTGGAGCTTGAGACCGGCCGATTGAGATGACGACGACGACTGGTGTTTCTTGTGGGACTGCATGTGCGCTGTCAAGGCCGCAGCTGTACTGTAGCCTCTCGTGCAAGCCGTGCATTGGTAAGGCCTCTGGGTGTCGTGCGTTTTCAAGTGAATCTTCAGGTGATCGCTGAAAAAGATGATAAATGTGTTAGAAAACTCGTATAGCGAAATTTACAATATAAAATTCAGTTCATAATTTAGAAATATTGATTCATTTATGTAAGCGCTAAATAAATAGAATTAATAGCTAAAATATACATATGTGGCATGTCGATTTGTTATTTAATACTACCATTAAAATTCTATTAAATTAAATTGTGATACCGAAAGAAAAGAAATGATGTCTAGACATACGTGTTTATAATTCATCGTATTATTATTAAGTTATCATATAATTAAAAACGCAGAATTAAAATTATATGCAGATGAAATATTAATTTTGAATTTTATTTTATGTTATAACATCAACATTTTTCGGAAATTAAAATTATGTACCAATAGAAATTATCAATAAATATGTTTTGGTATAATAAACATTTCTTTCGATTTAAAATTTAATATGAAATCTAGGATTTAACATTGAAAATGTAATTATGCAAAGATAATATTTTTATTTAAAAACCCAATAATATTATCTAACTGCCTATTTATCCATGTCATCAATTCTATAATTGCATTTTTAGAATAAAATATAATTTATCGTATTAAAAGATAAATCAGTCTGCATAATAGGTCAATCATTTATTTATATATTATAATTAGTAATTGAGATCTCGGAATTGTGGAAAAAAACATTGATTTAATTTTAAAATAATTAAAAACATTAAAAAAATAATATTTATCTAATTTAGCAAAAATAAAGACGTAATTATACAACGAAGATAACACTTAGAATAATGTTACCTAACTATCTATTTATCCATGTATCAATTCTAATTGCATTTTAAGAATAAAAAATATAATTTATCGTATTAAAAGAGAGATAAATCAGTGCATAATAGGTCAATCATTTATCTATGGATTGTAATTAGTGATTGAGATCTCGGGATTGTGAAAAAAAAACAATTGATTTAATTTTAAAATGATTAAAAACGTTAAGAAAACATTTATCTAATTTAGTATTAAATACGTAATTATACAACGAAGATAACATTTTTACTTAGAGATGTATCATTTAATAATATTATCAAACTATATTTATTTATCGATTTTAAGAGTAAAATACAATTAGGATTCATACATTGTTAGATAGATAATTATATATAACATTAATAGATCTTTAAGAGAGTAACAATCTTAGCTTTACCACATAATTATGTTTCCAGCGTCAAGTGAAATAAATATCCTTTTTTTTTTTTTTTTAACAAAAATGTTTTTTTTTTTTTATCGTTATCTATATTATTTTAAAATTAATTCAGTCTATCGTTTTTTTTCCACGATCCCGATCACTAAATGCTATTCTCGTAGATGGATGACCGACCTATTATATAGACTGATTTATCTTTTAAATGCGATAAATTGCCTTTCATTGTACGAGAGAGAGAGAGATAGAGATCAGGTAGCTAATTCAGGAGATTCTATTTCCTGTAATAAGCGACGAGAGAGTCTATGTATATTAAGGTTCATCGCAGAAACCGCGCTGTCAATCACACACGTGGAAATAGATTCACCTAACGGACGAGGATATTTCGATTTCCAGTGCGGAAGTCGGATATAAAACGATCGGGTGTAGCGCGCCGCGATCTTTAATAATAAAACTGTAGGACGTGATCGACAATGTTAATTTATCGACGATTTGATATACCTCGAACTGAGATACTTGCGCTTAATCTCGGAGATTGGATTTACGGTAAAGCGATCGGCGAGTCAATCCGAGGTAAAAGAATTAAACGACGGCGAAACTTAATGAAAATGGACGGCGAGTTTCGTGGAAACTTGCTTGAAAATATTTTTCTCGAGTGCTAATTAAGTGTCCCACTAATAAAGCGCCGAATATATTATTTAGAAGGAAAAGAGATCGGCGATGTGCCGGTTATATATTAAGTGCGCGATGACATTTCCACAACATTTTATTCGGAAAATTCCTGATTAAAGAATAAATTACCCTCTCCTTGTCATATCGCGAGAAATGGAAATCTAAAATCATTTTGTATCGTTGCACTTTCATACGAATATGAAACTATATTGGTATATGAATTTGAAACGCTCTATTTATTCTTTCGACATTTAAATGTGCAAAAGTGTGGTATAGAAAATCGTTATTCCGCGATAAAATAACGAATAGAATTAATTATCTTTCTTCAGCGTATAGTACTTCTTGTTTTATATTAGACAGAAATTGATATCAAGAAAGACAGAATGAAAAGTCTCTCGTTGCATTTATTTTCTAATTATTTCGGAAAGAGAAAATGAGAAAATTAATTTTCACGTTTCTCAAATAATCGAATAACTCGCGAATCTTTCATTTCATCACACGATCATTTTAATTGGGTACAGAATATAAATAAATTATATGCGATATTTATGCAGAGTTGCGTGAATTTATTAATCGCATTCTTTCCAGAAATCGATCTCGATCAATTGTAAATAAAATAATCAAGTTCGCCAAATATAAAAACATAAAAAGATGCGAATTAAGAATGCATCATTTTCGACAAATGATAGAACGCAGGATTTTGGACACATCGAACCCGAATAATTAGTTTTCGAAGCTTTTACTGATTGAGAATAACTTAAAAATATTTTTGTCGCAATCATCTGTCATGTGAAAAAAATGTCGTGAAGTAAAAGATTCATGTGTCGTATAGAGTCAAGAAGAGGGTACAGAGATTTCGGACAGAGGCAAACGTGGATATAAGGATTCGCTGATTTCCGTGATAGAACTCGCGAATGAATAATTCATCATATATATATATATATATATGATGAGATACACGTATATATTTGCGTGTGTGTGTGTGTGTGTCCATGGTGGAAAACTGAATCCGCATTTAAGGTGAGGTCAGCCTGACGAGGTTTGAGCGAGCGAACGGTCAGCGAGCTGTCTCGGCTCGCCGAAACGAAGACAGACGGCGAATTTACTCCTGCACTTTGCGCGTGAATTATTCATGCGCCACCAGGATTATCGCCCGGTGAACCGCGGCTGTCCTATTATCGAGCGTATCGTTTTGCGGCCGACCGACCGAGCGACGACGAAAGAAGAGAAAAGTTTAAAAAGAACGACTCTCTCAAAAGCGTGTAAAAAGCGTCGCGCTCGCTTAACGAAGAGAATGGACCGACCGACGACAAGTCCGCGCCGGTCAAGCCGGTATTAAATACCACTCGCGTATTCCTGTTTTCGCACCACTATTATGTATTTGATGTCACCTCGACGTTGACCGTCTCGCATCGTCGACCATAGATCGGAGATGACATTCGAATGCAGATTGATATATATCTTGTTTCGTTTTTTTTAATTGCATATTTTACACACACACATCCTGTTTACTTATTTTACTTTACACCGAAAAATAGCGACAAAAGGATTTTCTTAATTTAAGATGATATTCTTATATTATTCTTATTTTCAGAAAAAATATACTAAAATTTAGAGAAATTTCTTAAATTAAGAGGATCCTCTTGGCGCTAAGAATACAATTTTTTCGGTAATAGATGAAGTAGAAAATGCGATGAGACCGACAGGTCGTGATTTTAATCTCGCTTGAATTGATTTGATTATTGCTGAAGATTTTTAAAAAACCGAACAAAGTAATTGAGTTATTTAATGATAAGATGTTTCAAGAACGTTTACAAAAATGCATCTTAAAAATAATTTTACAATATCGATTTATTCTCATTTGAAATGATTTGACTATTGTTGAAGATTAAAAAAAAATCGAACAAAGTGATCGAGTTATTTAATAATAGGCTTCAAGAACGTTTTACGAAAATGCATCTTCAAGATAATTTTATAATATCGATTGATATTTCTTTTTACAAAATTATTATCAAATGTCACGAAAGAAATACTTTACCTTCGAACCTAATCATTTCTGTTAGTGTTAAAAAATAATCAATTTTTAAATAATTAAGCTATAGAGATAAGCTATAGAAAAGAAGAGCTCATGATGATTTCTAAGAGTCTAACTCACGGAAGAGAGAAATGTGGAGTTCAAGCGCGAAATGGCGAGCAGCCATTCTACAAGAAAAAAGATCGTGTTTAGGGTGCTGAAAGGAAATGGAAATAAATGGACCGTTAAACTCCACCCTCGCGAGAGTCGAAAGAATCACCCTATCGCGTTGATTCGTGGGTGCACGATCTTCACATACTCTCATCTTACGAGTTTCAATTCAGTTACGATTCAAATGATTCAAATCTGAAAAGATGATCATTTATTACACATCATCATTTATTACAATTACTTCATTAAATTCGATCATTTTGTTCGATTTTCTAATCTTCAACGATTTAGCAATTCAGCAATTTTTAATCTTCAGTCAGATCATTTCAAGCGAGAATCAACAAGAAAATTACGATAATTTGTTGGTATCCTCGCATTTTCTGCATCTAACAGTAAAATAAATAAACATAGTGTGCAATTAAATTACTTAACGAAACAAGATTTCAATGTGCATTCGATTGTGTGGGGGGATTTTCTTACTCATTTTTTCAATCTCTCAATTGTCAACATCATGAAATCGTCTTATTTCGACAAGTAATTTTTGTTTAGTATCTGTGTCAATGTTTGTGATCAGCTGACTGTAAAAAAGTTTATACGTCTTGTTTTTTTTATCGAAACTAGATTAGTGCAAGAGCGAACAGTTGTCAAAGTAGTTAGAGGTCGAATCGTGACTTCGAGTTGATTGTCGATGGACCATGAGAACTACGAGACTGCCGTAAAATGTGCGATCTCGCTACCGCATTCCGTGAGAATAAAAACATCGCCGTGACGAGGTATTGTACTCGTAAGATACATAAAATTTTCCGACCGGTTTTTCGCGATCAAATCGAATTTTTGACTTCGATGGTGAATTAAAACGTACGTAATTTTAATGCGTTCTTAAAACATATATAAATTAATTTTTTTAAATTTTTGCAGAAAATCACATTCTCCTATTTAGATTTTCTAAAATAAAAAAATTATAACAAAGGAAAATAATTTTTCTTATATGCTTTGGTTCCTTTTCGAATTCATAAATTTTAATGAGACGATTTAAATAGTACGGTGCTGCATATTTACCGTAAACGAAAGTCTTAGTTAAGATATCTTATTCTGAGTCGCTCAACGTGAGAACCACGGGAGATTTTCACCCTTTTGTTAGATCACCCAAACTGACTGTTAAAGTGGGAGGACGAATAGAGACGTGGCGTAAAGATCTTGCGGTACGATTGTAATAGCGGCTGACAGGTGAGGAGCAAGCCTCTGTTAGGACCTCTCTCAACAATAATAACTCGATTCTTTGCAGTCTTGTTTTTAATCAAATTCGCCCGAGATTATTATTTTAAAATTATTAAATTATATACTCACGCGTGCGTCAAGTTTAATACAGATTAAAAAAAAAGAATATTGCAGATGCGAAAAGTGTATCCAAAACATGTATTTCTTATATATAGACAATACTTGATTTTATCTTATTATTATATATAAAATCGCTTAAAAATTTATTAAAATAAAAAAATACAAAAGATTCTCACACGACTTAAAAAATCGACAATTTTAATAACAATTTTTACATTTTATATATAATTCTATGTTTTATATCCCGTTTATTTGCTACTAATAAAATCGTGGATCTCAATTTTTTTTCGATAAAAAGAAGCTGACAGAGTGAATTGACGATGAGCGGAATCGTTCATGGAGATTCGTAAGGTGTCATCGGTTGCGAGCGCGACTTTAACGAGCGGCGAAGGCGGACGAGCGGCAACGAGGCACTTGACTAATGTTCTACCTGTTGTCCCGTAACACCTATGCGTCCTACCTGTCTGCTCACCTGGGGCCCCGCAGGGGCTCGCGAGCGCACACGCGTGTATCCAGTTAGAAAAAGGTACTTTGCGCGGGCCCTCTCTCTCTCTGTCTCCTTCTTTCTCTCTGTCTCTGTCTCTCTTGGACCCAGCTTAGCATTTCAATGCGCACGGGACCGATTCAATATACCGAGAGAGGATAACGCGTGTGAAAGAAGGAAACAAACAGATGGATACGACGACGAAGAGTACTAAGGAGCGGGTGGTAGGAGAGAAGAAAGAAACAGAGCCACGTAAGAGAGTAAGCTTGACTAATGCCACCCGGGGCCGTGGTCGTCGTGTGATCATTACTCATTTGTCACCCGTTGGATCGGTCGGAGGGCCCCGTTGGGCCCCGCCAGTGCCCCGTCGAGGGCCCTCGTTTGGCCATCTGTTGCGTTTATCATGCTTGTGCCAGCGCGATTGTTTCTTTTACGCCTTTCGATCATTTTTAGCTTTATCTAATTTTGTAAGTTTCGACCTTAAGAGAATTTCATAAACCTATCGATGAACGCGTCACAGAAAAATAGTTGGAAACGCTCGCAAGATTTTTTACATTTGTCAAATTTCTCTTGCAATTAAATTACGTTTGTCAAATTTAATTGGTCGTCAATAGTTCATAAAATATTGTGGAGAAGTATCGTGAAGATTTTGCGCTTACCTCCTAGAGAAGGCAGCCTCACATTTCGAGCAGCGATATCGCCTGTCTCCGGTGTGCAGCTTCACGTGACGATCGCGACTGCGTTTGTGCTTGAACAGTCTGTTGCACCAACTGCACTGATACGGCATCTGATCACCGTGACTCTGAAATTGACACAATTTTTATATTATAGTACTAATTTGATCAAAATACATTTTATTCATAGAAATTAAAAAAGATGCAGCGAATAATGACAATGACAACATACTCGCAAAACTTTAAGAAGAAATTGTATCCTTGAAACTTAATGAAAAGTTATAGAAGCTGGAGATTTTTAAATAAAAATTCTATATATCGCTTAAGTTATGTTCACGCTGGAACAATAACGAACAACTTTTTTAAGAAACCTGGAACATCAACAAAAAGTTGCTCTAGTGAGGACGCAACTTAAAATTTTCAGCAACAACTAGCAATTCTTTTAAAAAAGATGCTCGCTGTTGCTTCAGTAAAGATGCAGCTTAAAACTTTCAGCAACAACTGGCAACTTTTTGAAGAAACATGGAACATCAACAAAAATTGCTCGTTGTTGCTCCAGTGAGAACGTAGCTTGAAACTTTCGGCAACAGCTAGCAACTCTTTTAAGAAACATTGAACATCAACAAAAAGTTGCTCATTGTTGCTCCAGTGAGGACGCAGTTTAAAACTTTCAGCAACAACTGGCAACTTTTTGAAGAAACATGAAACATCAACAAAAAGATGTTCGTTGTTGCTCCAGTGAAGACGCAGCTTTATATTCTCACTAAAGCAACAACAAACAATTTTTTTAAGAAACATGGAACATCAACAAAAAGTTGCTCGTTGTTGCTCGTTGTTCCTCCAGTAAGGACGTAGCTTGAAACTTTCGGCAACAGCTAGCAACTCTTTCAAAAAACCTGGAATATGAACAAAAAGTTGCTCGTTGTTGTTCCAGTGAGAACATATAATAGTTTTAGAGATTGCAACATATACTTCAAGATTCTATTAACGCTTACAAGTCCGTACGTATCTACGAGACGAAAGGTACCTCAAGCAAATCTCGGAAGGATACTTGACAGGCACAATAATAGCCGGTTCATGCTTAACATCTCAATACGCCGCGCGAGTTAAATGCGAGGAGCTTGGACGCGCCAAAAGAGTCGGTAGAAAAGAGCAAAGAGTCATAGAGCAAGGAGAGAAAAAGGGAGAGAGAGTAAGAGAGAAGAGGTAAGCGTCGGTTCTCTGTCGGCCTCGGCCACGAGGACGCGTCACCCACCCAGATCATAGTGACCGATATGATCCCATACGGGTCACCTTCTTTGTGCTCCCCCGCTCGCGTAAAACGCTCGTCGCACGCGGTTCCTCGACACGAAACGGTGCCGCGCGACAAGGTAAGTAAGCTCGGCACGTACCGACGAGACTGCGGTCGACTTTCGAGCTGTCGGCTCCTTTGAAGAGACAATCTGGACGAGGGGCGAAGCGATCGCCGCCTGCTCTCTCGCTCGGTCCGGTCGAGAAGAATCGCCGGACAGACGGTATGCCGATGGAACGGCGACGAGAAAGTATATGTGCATCTGGCAGTTTAGCTAATCGGACCAGGCAATAACCAGCAACGACGTTTTAGATCGCTTGAAGATGAAAGGTCCGAGAGAGAATTCGAGTCGAATAATCCTCGGACGATCGCGTGAGGTATAGGTTACACCTCGGAGTATTTTCTTCATGAATGTTATAATGAGGAAAAAATTCACTTCTTAAGATTTTATGAATCTTTAGACATATCTTTGATATAATTTCTAAAAGAAAGTTAATTCCAATAAAGAGCATGTAATAAATTAAACTAGCTGGGGTAGCTACACCCCACGCGATCTTCCAAGGGGTTGTCTCGAAAGATGTTGAAAGATATTTATAATATTTAATGGGACAAATTTTATAATGGACAACTTTATGACAAATTAATTTTTGAGACAATTTTAGAATGTATAATTTGCAATATATTTTTAAACTTTGAACATCCTCGAATGTTTCGTTTACCGATGTGACTTGTTTGCAAAGATTGAGATTACTCGTCACGTCTTTCGGACGCAGAATAAAACTAGCATTGCGTACAAGTGCGTTGAATAAATAGGCAGCTATTTCTGCCTAGACTCGACAAGGACTTGTCTTGATTATCGCAGTCGTATCTGCGTGCGATTCATATACGAATTCGCGAGCTGAATCGCACTTACACAGTATGTTCAATAAATAAGGGGACTTTTTATTTAACTCATGGAACACGTAACGCCATCTATTGAACGTTGATAACATTAGAAAGGTACAGGTCTCACCTTTCAAACGCAGCCAACTTCATGTAAATCGGTTGACAGGTTAAAAAGTTACGCGCTTTTTAATGACAGTATGTTTTGTGCTTGTGTCGTAAAAATACAATGGAAATATTAAATTTTGTTTTAAACTTGGAAAAACATTTAGTGAGACGTACGAATTGATGCAAAAAGTGTATGGTGATGATTGTTTAGCTCGTTCAAAAGTTCATAAGTGGTTTAAACGATTTAAAAATGGTCGTGAAGATTTGAATGATGATGAAAGACCTGGTCGTCCAGAAGGAAGTAATCGTGCTGAATTGGTGGAAAAAGTCCGCGAAATCATTGCTGTTGTTGTCAAACTGTTAATAGAGAATACTATTTACAAGTTTTACATCGTTTGTGGTCAAGAATTGTTCGTGTTAGACCTGAATCCAGAGGGGAAACAGCTGTTTTTATTGCATGATAATGCACTACCTCACAAAACCAAAAAAGTTCGTGAATTTTTGATGAAAAAACAGATTTGTGTCATCGACCACCCTCCGTATTCTCCTGATCTATCACCATGCGACTATTTTCTGTTCCCTAAACTGAAAACTACCATGAAAGGAGCGTTTTACGATGATATTCCAGCCATTCAAGCAGCCGTGACACAGGTGTTAAAGAACATTCCTTTAGATGACATGAAAGAGTCTATGCATAAATTGGTTGATCGTTCTAAACGTTGTATTGAGTTAAATGGAGACTATTTCGAATAAAAAATAACTTTCAAACATAGTACGATACGTGTTTTATTCTATATCTTAAAAGTCCCCTTATTTATTGAACATACTGTGTATATATAATATAAAAGTATATATGTATTCAGGAACCGAAAGGGTCGACTGCCACCTGGATGAATAACCTGGTACAACCTGTTATGGGTATGATGCTACAGATTCTGACCTGATGATGACCCGTCCCAGGACGCGGAAGAACGAGCTAATGTCACCGCCATGCAAAATAGAAAAAATCCGAGCAGAGAGAGAGAGAAAGAAGAAAAAAGGAGACTCGCCACGCGTCTTCCAGGACACTCGCAGGAGGAAACGCGTTAACCTGCTCGTGTACGGGACTCGTCAACCTGCGAAATCACACCTTGGACCTTTTCTCACACCGCGTGAAAAGAGAGCTTTATTCGCGACATACGTGGCGCGCATACTAAATACCTGTGACGAATGAATCCTTTTGGTTTTGTTCCCTCCTTTTTCTTTCCGCGCTCGTCTGACATCTCGTATATCTCACGTTATCGCGAATCGATGCAAAGTATAGTATATACTTAAGGGGATCCTAAGACTAGTCATATTGATAGCAGCGCAAAGTTCAATTCGACCATGAATATTTTTATTGGCTATACAGATTGAAAAATCCTTTCAGTTCAAGTACCTATCTTTCGATTAATTATGCAATCTGTATAACCAATAAAAAGGTTCATGAACGAATTTAATTTCGCGCTGTTATCGGTATGACAAAGCCTTAGAATCACCTCAAGGACCTCAAGGTTGTAATAATTTTAATAACGCGTCGCAGAGAAAAAAGTTTGGATACGAGAATTGCTGTCTTGTAATTTATGCTAACGCGAATTTCAAAGTAAAAAATATGCTCGATTCTCCTCTATAGAACTCTTCTTCAATTTATAAAGATCTCTATCTGTGGACTGTTGGACATTTTATCATGCAAATATCTATGCTAAAATCTCTAGACGCGTATATTTCTATCTTCAGCCATTTATATCTTCAACAATAATCAATAACGCAGTTAGAGAAATCTAACGATTGAGACATCTGTAGCTTTACCTGTTCGTGCTTCTTCAGATAGCTGAGACGCGGAAACTTCCTGTCGCAGAACTGGCAGGGATAGGGCGCGGCAGGGTTGGTGCCGTCGGGGTTGACGTCGGCGTCGACCTCAGGCTCCGACGGGAAACTCGCTGACGTCGGAGTGGCGCAGGAAGACGGTGTCTCGCCGCCGCGTCGTGAATTGGGCCCGCCATCCTCGCTGTGCCACGAGGAACTTCCGGTTCCTAAGGCTTCTGCAATCAAAAAAAAAAAAAAAAAAAAAAAAAATCATAAGCATGGTCCTTTTCGAGAATCGGTCTACAAGACTCATTTAATGGTTTTGCAAGTGTCGCTCTGCTAGCGGGACCAGTTCTACACGTAACAAGGCGACCTTACGAACTCGCGTCTCTCATGCGTGTACACGTAACGACATTATACGAATCTGGTCTCACCTCGCCCGTTACGCGTGTCCCTTTACATCGTCCTCGTAACGAGGCGAAGACGGTAAAACTCGTGCCATTAACCCAAGTGTCTTGGTTCTCGTTCGGGCAAAATAGCGCGGTTTCGCGAGAGACCCTGGATCGCAAGACTGTATTCAACAGGCAGGATACTCCTTGACATCTGATTTAGGTCTTTTTGTGGGAACAAAAATCTCTTCGAAGTTTATATACGAATATTTTTTCTAAAAACTGAACCGATGTAACATCCGCAGATTTATTATGTTTCATGAATACGTCAAATAAAATAATATAAAAATAATTATTATACGAGAAAGAGAATATATTCAACAGGCAGGATATTCCTTGATATCTCATTTAGGTCTTTTTGTGGGAACAAAAATCTCTTCGAAGTTTATATACGAATATTTTTTCTAAAAACTGAATCGATGTAACACATCCACAGATTTACGTTTAATGAATACGTCAAATAAAATAATGTAAAAATAATTATCATACGAGAGAAAGAAAATATACAATTTATATTGCGCATACATAAAATTGCGCATTGTAACGTACACCTTGAGAGTGAAACAATTCGGAAGCAGTGACCCCGACACGAAGCTTCGCAATGACTTACGGGGCAAAGGGGTCAAGTGAGGGAAGACCCCCGCGTCTCTGTCACAGAAAATCCGCCTTATCCTCCTCCGCGTCGAGGGAGAGCGTGTCGCGCCGGCTACTTCCGGCGAAGTCCACACGCCGGCTAATCACGAATAATTTATAATTGCCTGGAATGAGGACTAGAGAGATCCCACCGACTCTCGGGAGGATAGAGAGACGAAGCGCGCGCTGCTCGTAAATGGTGGAAATGACTCGGCTAGTTAGCCGTTTCCTCATTTGTCGTCGGCTCTCCGTCGACGGATCGACACCCACGAGTCGATTTAAGAGATTTTACGGAATCCCAGTCTACGCGCGCGACAGAGACCGACACCCAGAAGAGAGACGCGCGATCAAGAGCGTTACGCATCTCGTACGTCTCCGTAAATCGCTCGCATCCTCCACCCACGCGTCATCCTCGTGCGAGCCTCGTCTCTTCCTCTCCCAGAAGGATAGTCGCCCATGCGCCACTTTTGCTCAATTATTATTAAATTATTGCGTGTCGCACATATATATATATGTATATATAATTAAATATATATATCTAAAAAGATTCGAGAAAATCGTGAATAGAATTTTTTTTTAGAATTTGATCCCTCTGGGTTCTTGAAAAATAAAATTTAGTAATTTGATTGACCGATACTAATTATTGTTAATTTTAAAATGCGCGAAGAAAATGATTTGAGCCGAAGCAATTCGTCGTACTCATCTGTACTCCGAAACACTTAATGTTGCGCAACGTATGCGCACCTATCGAGGCGTTCGCCCAATTGGCACCACGACTGATTCACGCGTTCCAACGACTCTTTAGGGGTGCCGAGAGAGTTGTGAACCGGAGAAAGGCTGTCTCGGAACGTGACCGATCGGGCAATAAATATAAATCGAACTGGAGGAATTTTTGGCGAATTAAAACTACGAATATATTAAGCTGCATAAATAGAAAACGTGATGTACTTATTGGATGTCGCTAAATTTTAATATATTTTTAAAAAATAATTGTTTCTTTCTCCTCCGAGAATATATTCTCTTCAAGAACTCTCCGACGCAGAATATAATTTCCAAAACATTCCTGATAGTCATCCTATACATGAATGTCTTACTGTATGCTATAAGAGGGGAGGAATAAGATATCGGGGAAAAAGTAAGAGGGTTGATTGCGGAAGGAATCGAAGAAAGAATTCTCTTGGGTTTCGGGAGGGCTCTTATTTAACTTGCATGCAATCGGCGACGATGTGTCATCGGGGCGAAAATAGGCGCATGTAGCGATTCGACCCGATGCACGCGTCGCCGACCTGCGTCGCTGACAATGCTGTTGTCAGCTTCGCAACTATTTATAGGAGCACTTTCGACGACGCTTATTAATAGGGGCCTGACTTTAACGCCTTCGTTAATTGTGACTTATGTTGGGCCGGCGCCTTACGCGGATTTTCGCGCCAGTGGCGTAACATAAATTATTATATCTGTTCTTCTGGAAGAAAGTATGTATCTATCTCCTTTTTATATACCTTTTTGTTTTTCAATTAATCAAATCCTTAGAAAAATGTCTATTATAGATTTAGCGATTCATCTTTCATCTAAATATTCTTCAACTAGTTTATAAAAAAGTTAGATTTTTTTTTCAATAAAAGAAAGTCAAGAAAGATTATTTAGTAAATTGACAATTTCTTATTTTAAATTGTATTTTTGTGATTAGCTTTTTTAAATATTAAATCACACATAAAATTAAGTAAAAAACAAGATTTTCATTTATTTCCATTTTTAATTTTTTAAGAAAAAATCGAAACTCTAAAATGCTTTAAAAATTTATAGATAAAAGATGATAGATTTTTGCAATCTCGACATCTAGCAACATTTTTTCTCCCTTTGTTAATTGAAATAGTATTGTATATAATATGTTTAAAATAAATAGATTTTTTTTATCTTTCTATGAAAAATAGGAAAACATTATACTAATGTAGCGAGATGTTAAGATCTTATACAGTCATTTTGGATGTTGACTTTAGTGCTTGACACGAGCGTTTGGCGAATGAATATTCACACTGTCCACTCGCAATTATAAAGTAAAATTATCGCCGCTGTTACTGGCGACAGAGTTTAATAGCGCGTTCGTCAGAAAGCCGTTTTGTATCAACTTATTCTTGGCAAACGTCATCAATCGCGCTTCAAGGTATAAGGTACATCCGTATATGTGTGTGTGTGTGTGTGTGTGTGTGTGTGTGTGTGTGTGTGTATGTATGTACGTGTATGTGACTACACATCGGATATTTATCGTGCAAGAATGAGCATTTGTCACAGGGAGACTCGCGCGAGTAATAATATTTCATGTTGGCTCGCCAGACTCAATTTACACACAGCCGACAAATCCTTTGACGACTACTCCGAAAATCCTCAGAGAGAGATACCGGAAGTGGTCAGGAAAATAGTAAAAAGTTTGCTGGATGACATTAAATTGTATGACTTGAACTTGATAAACAAAATTTAATTAGTCAGCAATTTCTGAGCGATTCAAAAAACCAGAAATAAAAAACGTAATAATAAATATTAATGCGATTATATATATATATATAAAATAAACTTTTTTTCGTCCACACTTCCATCGGTAAAAGTATTAAATTAAAATAATATAGAACGAATTATGAATGATAAATTCTTTCTGCTGTGTTTAGGGTAGGTAAATATAAGAAATATAAACACAGACAAGAGAGAATAAGAAAAAAGGAATGTGTATGTGTGTATATATAACAAATTATTTTTCTGACGCACACATATATACACGATCACACACATAGGCCCGCTATAAATATACATATATCGGTTAATACACATAAATCACATTTTTAATTTTATTTTAAATACAGACCTTCTCAAACATGTCAATATCATTCGTTAGTTTTAATTGTATTTTTTAAATCCTTTCTGTAAACCAGATTCTGCAAAAATCTGTAAATTCAAGTAGAAAATTCTTGACGTAAATCCAGTAAAACTCAAAGGTGGCGAGAAAGAAACGAATAAAAAGTCGTGGAACGAAATAAGCAGGTAGAACGACAGTAGAGTTAAACTTTGTGGAAAAGTAAAGGGCTCGAGGTAAATGAAAAATCAGACGCAAAGGGAGGACGGAAAGAGAGAGTCAACAAGAGAAAAAAAGAGACGAGAAAAGAAGTTACATTCAAACCTTTAGACTTGTGTTGTTCATCTTGTGACGGTTCTTTATGCGCGTGGATCTTGCCAATCAGCAGCTCCAGCCGCGAGCTGTTACCTTTGAAGAGCATCTTGTTCTAAAAATCCTTCAAACAACTTGGAGGTTTGTTGGTGCGATGATATTTGCTTTTAATGTTCGATAGGTCTTCGATTCGTCACCAAATAGTCCACTTTACGTGTGTTTTGCGAGTATCAAACTGAACTGTCATCACGAAAGTGTCAACATAAATATCGATATCTCGACTATGGGAGCTGTTGTTAAGCATATAAATAAGTTCAAGTTGTGTACATGTACGAAGGTGGCGCGATCTGAAAATCAGCTGAAGTTTGAGCTCACCGACACGAGATTCATCGATCAAAGTGACACTACGAATTTCGAAATTAATAAACAGCTTTTTACAATTTTCATTCAAAACACCGTCCATTCGTCCTTGCAATGTCCTTAAGATATATTGACAACAATTTACCCTCACCACACATCAAATTCTAAGACAGACGAGCTCCTCATTGCAGTTTTTCAATACTACACCTTTCCAGTAAAGTGACAACAACCTAAGTTTGCTTTCTTATTACAGATGACAGATGGAAAATCACTCGTATGTCAGTGTCCCTTGATCCACCGTTCGACCTTCGCTTCGGCAAAGCTGGCACTCGGCGGCACCCCGGTAACTCTGATATCCCCGTGTTATCGAATTCCAGTGGAGCCCGCAGCCGATCGCGCACGGGTCGATCGATCCAGCGTCGATCGCGATGCTCCGAGAACTGCGGGCCTCGTCAGTCGGCGCGGTATCTCAGGCGATCCCGCGTCGAGAAACGAGTCAAGGCGCGCGTCAAGGGGGTCTCATCCGTTGACTATGATCGCGCGCGATGCAAGGCAATACACAAACACACACGCATACACACGCGCGCGCGGTCCAAGTCCTTCTCTCTAAACGTGGCGAAACGACGGCAGGAAGAAGACG